CTAGGTCTCTGACATACACTGAAAGCTGTCATTACCACAAGCCCTGTAGTTTTACTCCTGCCTCAGCCCTCACGTTTAAAAGCCGTTTTGTGAACACACACCATTTACAAAATACGTCATTGATTGTCGTCTGCATCCCTGATGCTGATATATGCCTACCGCTCCACGTTCCCAGATCTCCTCTCTGGGACAGTCCACTGAGGCCACTCACAGGGCTGGGATGTCTCAACCCCTGGGCCAAAAGCACCCCTTAAGCCTAATAATCAGGGAGCCCAGCCATACAAAGGCATCTATCTCCTTCCACTGCTTCTTAACCTCATGGCCCTTGAAAATATTCGGGGATTCTATGAGAACATTCAAAGAATGCTCCTTTATAGTTGTCTTCTTTGTGGTGATTCTAAAGTATTAATGTTCAAAAGACAAGGTAAGTGAAGTCTCAGGAACAAGAATTAGGAGAATTGGGGTCTAAGTAAGTAGAGCTTCTCTGACACCTGTTACCGATGATGTAAGAGGAAGAGTGCTACTCAGGACAGGAGCTGAATATACAGATTCTTCCCCCTGAAGGTCACCCCCAAAGACAAGTTCAGGTAGACTCAATTAAAATATCACCTTTGCCTCCTCTGTAAGAAAATTAAAGGGCCAGGGCCTTGATGCTCAAAGACTAGAAAATATATATGTGACACTAATGGACATCGCTCTTGGGAGAAATACTTAAGGAAGAAGGCAGTAGAGATAAAGTGGTAAAAATAAGGATTCTTCTACAGCAGAATTTTCAGGTAAGACCTCCTATCTGACTCTAAATTTCTCTAGCTCTTGTGCCATGCAGGTCTACACCACCGTAACATAAATCTACAGAGGAAGAGAACAGAAATGGAGTCTCCCTCCCAGACTTCAACTTGTACTCTTGTGATTTTTTTTTTTTCCTCGAGAGAAACACATTTTTAAGCAAGAGAAAACACTCAAGTGTTAAAGTTGGTGATGTATGTAAATAGTGTTTTAGGAAGCCTCAGAATAATAGATGGTTCTGGAATAGCTTAGTTCAACTTCAGTTCCCTAGGGTGATTTCAACATTTGAGCCTTCTTTCATTCCCTCCACCCAACTCCACCCTCCCTTCCTTGCAAGATTCCTGAGAGGAAGCTGTGCCTCTGTTGAGGGGTGGGTATACTTTAAATTGTGGGTTTTCCCTAGAAACCTGAAATCTGACTCCCAAAGTGCATATTCCCCTAAAATCTTTTGTCAAATCCTCTGTGCTAACCCTCCTAGCTAGTACTATGGTCTCTCCCACCTGCTCCCAGCTCTCTGCAATCCCTTTATAGGAAGAAGTGGCGCGCCCCCCAAATCTGACATCTAATGAGGCTCAAGGTTCATCTCCCTGCCTCATTTTTCTAGTGCAGGATCTCCGAGATTTCTAACAAGAGAGGTAAACTCGTTGAGAAAGAAACGGACAAAAAGGGTATAACTACAGATGTGTGAGTGAGCACACGCAAACACACACACACACACACACGCCCCTCCTTAAATTTTTAAGTTGGAAATATTTCCTGGAACCTTGTCTGGTACAGAACCATGGGAATGCTCAAAACTAACAGTTTTCTGAAGCTGTAATTAAGACATCAAAAAGGTTGGTAAATTTAAAGAAGAGCTTACTGAGGTTGTCCTTCTCAAACTTAGTTTAGGAAAGGAACCTAGTGTGGTATGTCACATGTAATGGAAATAGATAATGTTCCCCAAGAAACCATATTCTCCAAAAACCCCTGAAAGCTTCCGACTTCAACTTGAAAACCACTGCCAGAGAGCAGTATGAACTCACTGTTCATTGTCTGATCACGCAAAGCCTGTATCTGAGTCATTTCGCTAACGTCTTGCCCTAACTTTGCTTTGTGGGTGACTTGAAAACAAAGACTTTTCTGTGGCCAGCCATGTTGGGCATATACTTGGCCCTCCAGCGGTACCTCCGTTTTGTTCTTTCGGTGTTTCCCATTATGCAAGGCAGCTTTCCAATCTAATATTTATATCATACTTTACAGTCTACACAATGTTCTTACAGCCATATTCCCATCAGATCCTTAAAACCTCATGGTGCGATGGGCATGCAGAATCACTATTTCACAGCTGGAGGAGCAGAGGTTTACTCGGCTGATTACATGACAGCAGGGAGTTGAACCCACGCGATCCAACAGGGCGTTTAAGTTGTGTGCACTCCACCTAACCGCCCCACAGACAAAACTGCTTCGAGCTCACACTTTTCGTAGGCTAGTCAGTCTGAGTTGTACTTATGTCCTTCGAAAGTATAAATAAAAACCCAAAGTATCCAAAATTAAGGCACACATGTGATGTGAATACAGAGTATCATTTAAATGTATTCGTGGGCTAGATTAAAGCCTAACCTCCGTCTTGCCTAGCTCGGTGGCGGAGCTGGGAGTCCCCGCCCCTCTGTCTCGGCCTCAGTTTCCTTCTGTGGCCGAGGGCAGGATTTGTAGAATCTACACTGGACGGGGCAGGTCTCTTCCTTTCCCTCGCAGTCCAGGTCCGGCCCCTCGAACCCCGGTGTGGGGGAGGGGGTCTACGGCAGGCCACTCTGCTGGGGAGGCGCGGCCTCGTATGAGGCAGGGCCGGGGACCATGCCAGAGCCAAAGACAACTCACTCGCCGCTGACCAACTCTCTCCTTTGGTCCTCACCGCCGGCAGGCCGGCCCACGCCCAGGCAACGGCGCATGCGCGCCCGATTGCCCCTCTGGTCCGGGCGGGGCCCGCTGAGCCCGCTGCTCCTGCGCACACGCCTGGTTAATACCGCTCCAGGACGCCGGGAATCAGGATGGGCTTTGCAGGCTGGCGGCGAGGTTCAGAGAGGCCCCTGAGGTCATCCTGGAGTCTAGACTGCTAGAGCAGTTTTTGAGTGCTCGTTAAAATTCCAGATTCCTGGGCCCCATCCCCAGCAGCCTGGGTAAGACCCAAGAATCTCCATTCTTAAATCGTCCCCAGATAATTCTGATATGTGGTCCTCACTGGCTGGATCCACCCTCTTGTTTCAAGAAACGTAGAAATTGGAGCATAGACATGAGAAATGATTGGATTCTACAGAATTAAGTGGCAGAGCTTGGTGTAGAACACTGATTTGTCAACTTGCACTCAGGTGCTTATCGTTCCCTGCTTCTCCTCCTGCCCCATGTTCAGGGCATGTTTTAATCAGGACCAGGCAGGTTGGCAGGCAGTTCATTCACATTGTTGGGCTAACGAAAGAATGAAAGCCCCTTTCTCAGGACACCAAAGAACCCCACCCAACGACTTCACATCAAAGCTCCAGTCAGTGCGCTGATTCACGCCAGTGTTGCCTCTATCTGCCTAAGGGTGGAGGCACTCTGAAGAAGGCTGAGCCCACACCCCAAGGGGGCAATGGACAGTTTGGGTGTATACACCCCCTTCTCATACAGACTCCTGTCCATATGTGATCATGAGGGACTATTTGCATGGGCATCAGGCATAACCCAACATGAATGTAAAACGTTCCCACGTCTACATGCGTGTATGTGGAGTGGGGGGGGGGCGGGGGGCGGGTCTGGGCCATCCGTGTGTGTTGGATTCTGGCTCAAGTTTAGGCATGTTCAGTAACAGGCAGTGACCCCAATCCAGGACAGTTGAATGATATGTGCTGACAGCCACTTTCAATGGCCCTGGATGGGGAAATGGACACTCCCTTGCATACTCTGAGGAGAAGCAGAGCTGAGCTTCCCACTCCCACATACACCCCTGTCAGCAAGCACCCCCTCCAAAAGCTCATGTGGAGGGGAGAGGACTCGAGGCTACAGATGCTGGGGCCCCATTTGCTTTCAGAATCCCCCTCTTCCCCTGGGGCAAGAGGGCAGGGGTGGTGGGCAGCTAGCAGAGTAGTTCTGCCAGGCTTCCCAGAGGAGGCAACTCCATTCCCTGCTATGGTCCTCAGGACCATTCCGTGGGATGACGGTGTTTTCAAGGCCACTCTAACACTCTTGGGAGAAGCATGTCATTTTCCTCTGTTCCTCCCAAATCTCTGCCCCTTCTATCTGTCCTGTCCCAGCCTCAAAACCTCAAAGCTGCAACTCTTTCCGAGAAAGCCAGGAACACAGCTGTGTGTCCCATTCCCTGTGGGGGAGTTCCAGCTCTCCCTCCTGGCTCCAGATGTAAAGGAACAGCTGTGGGGGTGGCAGGAAGCCCAGTTGGAAGCTAAGCAGGGCCTGGGAAGGTGGAGAACAAAGAAGGGAGAGATAGACAAATAGCAAGGCTATCACAATTCTAGAGACCTGGGGAGGGGGCGGGGGGAGCCTTTCACCCCCTGGCCTGGCGAATGGCTGACAAGCCTTGCCAAATTTAGCTGCTGCCCGAGCCCTGCTCATCCTGCTCCTGGCAGCCCGGGCCAATGGCAGGACCTTCTGTAAACTCCATTTTATGATTTTCACTTAATCTGAAAAGGGAAACTTGGCTTCCTTTGTCAGACTCCACCCCTTTCCTCAAACAGACACCTCCCAGCATAAGATTTTGGGAACTGAAAGCTGATGAGGGAGTGGAAGGGAGGTAGGAGAGAATTCTGCCCCTCTCATCTGGCATCTTCCTGCCCCTCCCTACCTCTGGGAAGTAAACCAAGATGCAGGATGCCAGGCTGGGTGTCCAGCAGACAGGGCTGCTCCGGGCATTGCTTGCTTGCCTGCTATGCCAGGGTGACAACGTATGACTTGGCACCGAGCATTATACTCAATAAATTTTCTGAATGACCATGGCCCACTCTGGGTCCAACTGGGACTTTAAAAAGCCTGTCCACTACCAGGAAAGGGGCCCATGGCTGTGCCCACTGCCCATCCATGTCCTCCTCAAACTGAAAGGACACAAGTTATCACAACTGCCTCTGTTTAGGAAAAATAGTTTAATATGTTTGGAACCTCCTTCTAGATAAGGTTCCCTTCTCCATGGGACACCCCTATCACTGCTCTTCCCATGCCCGCTGGGAGGAGCAGCCCCTGTCTGAAGGGCACCCACCCACCCCAGATGACCCCCACCTCCTGGGAGGCCTGCTCTGGGTCTAGGCCTTAGTGAACCCATCACTTTTGTGTTTTTATAAAAACTGGTCAGAACACTGTGTATACCCCCTTTTCTGGATGCCACAGGACCAGCCCAGAGCACCTTCTTCCCCTTAATTAAATAGCCCATTAAATAATCTCCAGGCACTGGCAGACAGGAGGTGCCACAGCAATAAGCCTCGTTCCTTGGCCGAGTTTCCACCACCCCAGGGCCTCCACCCTGACTAGATCCAGCCTCCACAAAAGGAGCCATGGGCATGGCCTCATCTCAGACCTGGCCAGTCCTGGGACCCCGCCCCACACAGGCGAGGGGGAGTCCAAGCCAGTCATGCTGGCACCAGGCACCCGCACAGCTGTGGCTGGGTGTTGCTCAGGCAGGAGAGCAGGCAAACCGATGAGTACAGCTCCTGCCCAAGTCAGAAGTAAGTGAGGTTCTTGACTGCTCCAAGTTCCAGCATCCGTTTGATGGCCAGGGCCTCTTGGGAGACGTTGTGGCCTGACCCCTGTGGAGACAGCCACGGAAGCAAAGTGAGGGACTCCTAGGGACGTTCCTGACCCAGGACAGTCTCCCTGGCCCTCCCCATAGTCCCCACACTCTGGGACCTCCCTTCCCTCTGCTTCCTCTCAGAAGGAAGACAGAATTTGTGTGACCGAATACAGAGGACACTGGCATGAGAATCCAGATGCCTCGGTGCCAGTTCTGACTCCCAGAGTGACCTCACTTGTGAGCCACCTCTGGGCCACTGGCACCACTCAGTCACCCAGTGTCCCAGGCTGGTCTGCCCCATCCAGCTTGCAGGCAGGGTCCGCTTACCACCATGGACTTGAGCGTGATCTGCTCATAGTAGTGAATAGTCTGCTTCCTGTTGTGGGCATCTGGGTAGCCGAAACCAGCGATGTGCACCATGTCGCAGAGGTGGAGGGCCAGGGTGATGGCCAACAGGCCTGTGGTAGGCTTCTGAGGGACAAGGGGTGGGGAAGGTATTAGAGGGAGCCCACCTCCTTTCAGCATCTTCTAGATCAGCACTCTGCAACAGAACTTTCTGTTATCCCGGAAGCGGCCTTATCTGGGCTGTCCTGTATGGCGGCCACGGCCACAGCTGGCAACTGAGCAAGTGAATGGGGCTCATGTTGCTGAGGGACTGAATTTTTTATTTTATTCATTTTAATTAAAATTTAAATTTACTAGCCATATGAGGCCCACGGCTACCACACTGTATAGCACAGATGGGGAAATGAGCCTTACAGCTGTTAAACAACTCGCCAAGGAGTGTAAAGATTCTGCTCTGCGCCTTGAAGAATCTCACCTCCATAACGAGCCCCAGGGACTCCATGCTCACGGGCTCTTTGCCCTTTAATGAGCTGGGCTCTCCCTCTGTAAAGAGGGGATGGCAAGACTTTTCCATTCACTTTATGGACTGCTTGAAGGACCTCCCTTTTTGCAACCCAGATTCATCCACAGAGAGGGGGGCAACCTGGTATCCTAACTTCACAAATGTCACCTTCCTCAGCTCCTGCCTTGCGGACCACTTCAGCTGGCTACTCCCTTCAAAGAGCCACTCTTTGGACCTTATCGAGCCCCCTGATGCCAGTTTTTCCGGTGTCTGTTTCTGGGCTCTGTTATCATTCATCTGTACTTCCGGCCTTGGCATTCGGCTTCACCCCCCGTTGCTCTAACCACCACTGCGTTACCTCATCCAATTCAGAACATCACCAAACCACATTTTCATCACCTTCTAGCCAGCTCTGCTTAGTCACAGGCTTCTTAAAACTCGCCAAACTCTCCTCTCCCATTGTATCCCCTAGTTAGACATATCACTGCCCAGTTGTCTAAGTTGGAAACCTAGCATTGTCATAAATGTCTCAATTTCACCTGGGAAGTAAATGATGTGAGATGACCCTCAAGGACCCTCACCCTTGAATGTGTGTGGAAACTATGGATAGGATGAGATATATCACATTACATTATACTGCTTTAGATGGCATGGTTGACCACAAGACAGGAAGATAAGCCTAGGGGGCTTGACCTAATTTCACGAGCTTGTATATCTGGGTCTAGAGTTCAGCAGTGGAGGAAGTCAGAGACAGGAAGCACAAGAAGGATGTATCATGCCGGGTCTGGCCCAAAGATGAAGAGGGCCACATGGCAAGGAATATGGGCAGCCTTGAAGAGCTGAGGGTGCTCCCCCTAAGCTCAGCTGAGAGACAGCAAGAAAATGTGACCTTGGTCCTGGCAACCACAGGGAACTGAATTCTTTTAATGAGAATGATCTCGGAAGTGAATCCACCCACCCACCCCAGCCTCCAGACAAGTTCTCATCTGGCTACCTATGTGATCACAGCCTTGTACAGGTATGCCCTGCTTTTCAAAAGTTCGTGTTATTCCACTTCGCTTTTATGAAAGACCTACATTGGTACCTGTGTTTGCTAACCAAAAGAAACTTGAAAAGGAATTTCGCTTTTATGACCAAAGGCAAAAAGCAAATGTAATGTTCAGCATTCGTTTTTTTTGCAGCGATAGTGGCCCCACCAAGCTCCTTTCCTGGGAACCACACTCAGTCTCTCAGCATCAAGCCACCAGAGCTTTGAACCGTGTCTGTGAGCATCTGTGCTTTATCTTGATTTATTTTGTGCATCCATAAGCAAGATGTATCTTCGGGTATCAGAAAAGCCTAAGAGAGCCTAGTAAGGATGTTAACGCTTAGCATAAAACTGGACATAATTAAGCATTTCGATTGTGGTGAAAGAAATAAAGACATAGAAATCAATGGTAATCGCTTCTTTGTTTTATGCCATTTTGGCTTAGGAAGGTTTCACAGGAACACTCTGCTTTTGGATAGCAGGGGAGCCTAAACAGAGAACGCGGCCACCTTTTGCTGGACTTCTGACCTATAGAACTATGAGCAGATACATGGGTGTGTTGTTTTAAGCCACTAAACTGTGGTAATTTGTTAGGCAATGACAGGACACTAATGGAGATCGAGTCCAACCCTTCCCTTTCCCTTCCCACTGCAGGAGCTGGGTTCTGGCCCTTCCTTTCTCTGACTTCCCTCTCCAGCCTTCGCTTCTGACCCACGCCCCATCAGGGGCATAAGACACCTCCTTGCTGCCCTCACAACTCCACTCGCACTAGAATCTGGTGCCGGGGGAGTGTTTGGTCTGGCCGAAATGACATACCTTTCCCCAGTTCTCTGCCTGATGGGCCTCATGATTCCCCCAAGGCCCAACTCCAACACCACTTGCTCTGGGGGGCTTCCGAGACAGCTCCAAGCAGAGGCCTGCCCCTCTGAGATCCCACAGCACTTGGAACAACTCTCTGCTAGGGCACTTTGCCACTCCATGCTGCTGCCCGTGTGTTTATTTTGCTATCCTGAGTGTCCTTAGGGTAAGGAGCACGTCTTATTCCCCACATGCATACTTGGGGCACAGCACTGAGCAGTCACGACAGCAGGCATTCAACCTACGAAGCTGAATCACAGTAGATACTCGGTAAAGAATAAAATCATTTATTCAAAATTTTGCAAATATTTATTGAGCATCTACTGTGTACCAAGCTCCCTGATAGGCATGTTACATAATTATCTTTTTAAATCTTGCAATGGCCTTCAGAGGTTGGCACTAATTTTACTCCCAGCACACATAAGAAAATGGAGGCTCTGAGTGTTTGACTTGCCCAAGGCCACAGTTAGTGGTACAGCAAGTACCGTCATGTCTGCTGGTTCCCTCTGTCCACTCTCCCACAGTCTCTTTGAGGCTCAAAAGACATGTGTATGAGTACTTGAGAAGCTACAAGCATGTGGAAGCCCACCAACTAAAGACCAATAAGGCACTGAGAGCTGAAACCAAAACTGTAACTTACAAAACTGTGCCATGACTTCCAAAACTGACCACGATATACAAGGCAAACTGTAAGCTCAAACTCTTAACTCATTCAGATTAATAGGCAGCATCACAGATAAAGTTATCTGACAGAAACTGCACAGGCTTGAGCTGTTCTGAAGATAAGACTATGACTGTCCCAGCAACTCTCCAGTTTACAAATTCTGACCAGCGCCTGCCAAAACCATCCTCTAACTCCCGCCCCCAGCCCTATAAATACTCTCCCATAACTCCCCACTTTGGAGACGCCCCAAGGTTCTCAAGGGTGTGCCCTCCCTCTGCGTAAAGCTAATAAACCTGATTAGGGGTGTGTGCCTAAAGGCTGTGGTCTGTGGGCTGTAACAGGTACTATTCAAATGCAAACTGTAATCTGTTATTCTGTTCTCTCACAGAGTCCTCTATGGCTTCCTAAGCCTCTAGGACCATCCCGCCTACTTCCCACCTGAGACCCCCAATCCTTTGGCTTCCCTGTGGCATCATCACCTGCTTAATCTTGCGTGGCTGCTGCATTGGCAGCCTCAGCAGTTTGTCAGCTGCAATCTCCATGAAGAAGGGGTTGAGAATCCGAATCTGTTTGGGGTTGACGTCCCAGATGAGGGGAGGCTGTTTCCAGAAGCCCTTTCGCACCTAGGGGGATGGGGTTGGAAGGGAGAGATGGGAGTGGGTGAAGACCTATTTCTCAAGTCCAGCCCAGTGGTCCTCAGCCAGAGGATGGGGTCCACGTGATGGCAGAGACCCTCAGGGTGAGAGGGGAGGGAGGTGGAGGCCTGCACCAGAGACAGGAGGGAGACCAGAGGAGGGGAGCAGGGAGAGGGACGGGAGCGGGTAGTCCCCAGGGAAGGCCATATGACACAATGTGTACAGTACAGGGTCCAACCACTTCCACTTCCAAGGATCTCTAAACAAGTGGAGGGGTGAGTCTGGAGTTGTGTCAACACTTGGCGCAAACGCCAGACTGAACAGTTCAGCATTTAAATGGATGACAAAGAAACACAGTGGGCTTTCCAGGACCACCTAGAAGGACCCAGATCTTGACTGTCCTAACCTGGCCCCTTGCCTAACTGGCTCCTCTGCTCCTGAGTTTCTCACTGGCAAACATAATTTGGTAGCTTTTCTGTCCCAGGCAGCCTTGAGCTTGGGATGTCCTTGGATGCTGGCTGACTCCCACAGGGGATCGGGTGCGGGCTGTCAGGCAGACCATCAGAAGCCCTGCAGAAGACTGAGGGCACGCCTTGCCTTCACCGGCTCTAGGACTGCAGAGCAGACGTCATGGAACTGGCGGTCCTGACTCGGGCAGAGTCCCCATCCCCAGGCCTCAACCCCTCCCCGTTCCCCCACTTACCCGCTTCTTATCACTCAGGATGGTCTCAATCCAATGGAAGTCCATTGCCTTGAAAGCCACCAGGACAAGGAGCGTGTCTGGGTTGTTCTCCACTTTGGGGTTGAAGTGGGCAGACTCTGGGTAGAAGAGACGCATGGTGGTCTTGGAGCCCACGTCACCCTCGTAGCCAGCCACTGGGGCGTTGTTCAATCTGGAGGCAGAAGGAGAACGCCCATCACTTAGGGCCCCACTGGGCCTGTCTACAGTCACTCCCAAACAGAAGAGGGGAGGGACGGTCATACGGACCTGATGACCATGTCGTACTTGTTGATGGCATCTCCCAGTGAGCTGTTGCGAAGCCGGTGCCCGTTGCCCACCACCACGCAGCGGCGGCACTTGAGGCTGCCATGGGAAGAAGGTGCTCAGACGCAGAAGCCACCCCCGCTCCACTTACCTCTCCCTCCCTGGCTCTGCCCTGGGCCTGGCTCAGGAGCCACCCTCCCCAAGTCCCCTCAGTCCCTGACCCCCATGGACCAGGCATTTCTAGGGAGTCCTGCTTATGGTACTGCTCACTCTGCACCTCTGGGCTTCTGTGATGGGAAAGGAAACTGAGCAGAGCATGAAAGAGAGAGGAGGGGAGGAGGGAAGATGCTCAACGAGTACCAATACGAAACCCCATTTCGGAGCCCCCCTGCCTACTGCCCAGGCCTGCCTGTTGCCACAGCAACACCCTCAGCAGCCTCTGCCTGCTCCAGCAGCCAGATGCCCAGGCTCAGTTGCCGTGGGGATTGGCATACCTGCCACCCCTGGGGATGGGCAGGCTAGGCAAAAGGGTCTAATTGGCCACGGGGGACCAGAGACAGAAAGGCTCACTGGGAGGTGCTGAGCGACTATTTCACACGGGGACAGGAAGGAGAAGGCACCCGTACTGGAGTAAGAGGATAGTCTCCTTACCTCTGGATGCTTTCCGGAATAGAGTAGCTGGTGATGGCTAGAACCCGGAGGAGCAGGTCTTCTACAAAAAGAACCAATTGGCTGGGGCTGATGACAACAGCCAGCATTCCAAAGGCTGCCACTCTCCCTCCACCACTCCTAAAAAAAGCCTTGCCTGCCTTCTCCTCCTCTGACCCTGAAATCTAAGCCCAGCTGGGAACTTGGGCACTTGAGACCGTGGACAGCAAAGAACAAAAAGAGTGTGGCCGAGGTGAGGCCACTGTTCCCACAACACCAGGCCGCACTTACCACTCCCCTTGGTCCCATAGGGCAGCTCATAGGCAGAGAGTGTCTTGACCCAGAAATAGTCCTTAAGCTGCAGGAAGATAGGCTGATCTCTTGAGTAGCTGCACAAAGGTGAGAGCAGGGTAGGAACACAAAAGGGATTAATCTTGACCTCAGAATCAAGATCAGACCTCTGACTAATACTACATGCGTGTCCAAGGGCCTCTCCCTCGGTCACTGGCTTTATCTAACCCATGTCCACCAACACAGTCCATCCTTCTGGCTAGCACTGAGACCCCCGCCCTGTGAAACTCAAATCCTGTTTACCCAATACACTGCCCCACCCCCCTCAGCCTCAAATACTTACTTGCCAAAGAGCTTGGAGGCCTTCATCTCTGCCTCGCCCTGCAGGCATGGCTCCTTCTTCTCTGGGACGGGAAAATAAAAACTGGGGACAGAAAAGGGGAGGAGGGAAGCAGGAGTTCCAGTCAGCCCAGGGGCCCAAGGGCCGGCATCCCAGGCGGCCCCAGCCTTCTTCCATGACACAGGGGTCCCAAGTGCTGGAGAGCGACTTACAGGGTGGAATCATCTCAACCCAAATTCCACTTTGCAACCAAACCATTGAGGATCTAGCTCTTTCTTCTCCTGAAACCCCTGGCCGAGGGCTCAGGGGAGTCATCCCAGACCCTACCCCGTGAACCCACCACCTACCCTCGTAGAAGGATTTTGTGCTAATCTTGAAGGGGGGGGGGGTCATGCCCAGGTTCTCTGAACCCTCTTGCCCGACTCCATCCCCACCCCATGACACTCCATCCCAAGCTCTGTTCCTAAGAAGAACCAGTGGAAGGACATGGAAGCTGGACTCACAGCTCAATGTACCTGTCTTCCCGGGAGATGGAATACCATACCATGACGACCAGGACCAGAGCCAACATGGCCAGGAGCTTCCAGCCTGCAGGGCACATGCGCAGAGGAGCTGGAGGCAGAAACAGGCAGGTAGAGTCCCAGTCCATCTTCTTACCTGCCCCGTTTTGGGCCCCTACAACCCACAACTCAAGCTGACCCAGTCCCTGGACCTTACTTGCCAGCACAGGGCATTTCCACGTTCTTCGAGATTAAGAGAAGGGCCCCTGGCTCCTTGTCGGTCCCTCCACTACCCCCAGGGGTCCCACCCTTCAGAGTGGGAGGCTCTTGGGTAACACTCACGGGACTTGCTGATCATGTTTCTCAGCAGGTAGCAGGGTTCCTGGGGAGAGCTGGCATCCCGGCTGCCTCGGGCCACCTAGGAGGTAGGAGTCACAGGTGTCTGGTCAGCTCCTCACATACCACCACCAGACACTGGAGGAGGACACACCCACAGCCTGCCTCTTCCCACCTCGCAAAGCACCAAGTTGTTTCAGAGCAGTCATCCAGAGAGGCCCTTCTCACACTGGACATCCCTGAGCCCCTCAAAAGCAGCATCAGGGACCCAGGGGAAAACCAAATCCCACACCTCAAATATTAGGTTCTGTGCCAAGCTGGCCAGCTCCAGCTTCCCTGGCATAGTTCCCCTCACTGTCCTCTTCTTCATTCTAAGCTGGGAAGGGCCGGCTCCAGGAAGTAGTAGGTACCTCTTTTCTTACAAGAAAATTAAGCCAACCATACAAAGGTATGATTCATCTTTTATGCAACTGAAGTTTACCTATTTGCCACCATCCAAGGCCCTCCCTTGGTTCTGGCCACTGCCCACCTCTCCATTATCAGTCTCCCACAATTCCAGCTAAAGAGGTCAGCTCAGGCCAGACACCGGCATAAAGGTACAGCTACGAGATGGTCCACGAGGCTTCCTCCAGTCCTCTGGACTCTGACTAAATGCAAACAGTACCCAAGTCCTGACCACCCAGGCATGGAGGAGAAACTGTGAAGGCGGGGTGTTGGATGGGGAGTGTGAGGAGCAGAAGGGTCTGGTTAGAGTAGGCGAGAGGCTGTTTTGGGTGAGGGCAAAGGCCGGTGTAGTGAGGATGCGCTGCGGAGGCAGGGGAAGCTGCTGCTGGCACGGAAAGCGAAGTCCCTAGATCCCAAACTCAGCCAGGGCCACGCTTCAGAGTCACCGGGGAGAAAATGTCTGCAGCTTCTGCAGCCACACCAAGAGGCATGGGACGCTGCCAAGCGCCGGCTTCTATCCATGCCGGGTTCCCCAGTGGTCTGGATCACAGGCACCATCGGGGCTGCTTACTAAACTCCCAGACTCTTCCCGGGGACTGCTTCAGTCGGCCAGGGTGGACGGAGATGGGCACGTCCACAAGCAGCCCCCATGACTCTTTGAAGGACCGGGAAAGAGAGGGAAGGGAGCACTATTATTCATGCACTCTCAAGGATAAATGAAAAATCTTGAATATTTATTTCTCAAGGGCGGGGGACAGAGTCTGGACAAAGCCTGGTTTTGTTACAAATGATAGGTCAATTACCCTGAACACTGTGCTATCACTGAGTCATGCTCTGCTCCCAGGGGGCATTCTTGAGGCTCCACTCAGAGTCCACGAGCCCTGAAAAATGAGACCCTTGAGAGGGAGGAGAGAGCCAGGTGGGGACCGGACTCAGGTGTCCTCAGCAGGGTCTTACCCCAGTGGGAATGGAGGATGGCCCTGTCCAGTCAAGTTCTAGGTTCGTAATCAGAAGAGCCCAGTGAAAGTCATGGTTTTAGTAACTTCCTTGATTGCTTTTTCTGAAAGCACACACACCTTCCGCTAACTACTCACAGCCGTTGCCAACTCATTCCTCACCATGCCACCTCTTTCTCTCCACAGCACTTCTGATCTCTAAGACGTTTAGTGATTTATTTGCTTGCTGGCTGATTCCCCCACTGGAATTCCCCTCTGGAAGAGGAAATCGGGTCTGCCTTGTCCCCAGCATCTAGCACACTGCCTGGCACTCAGAAAGTGTTGAATGAATAACATGTTTTGCTACCTTGGGGGAGTCACTTCTCTGACCCTCACTTCCTTCGGCTCTAAAACTGGGAAGTTGGTCTAACAGATGCTTACAGATCAAACTATATCTGATCGGCAGCATGGATCACTAGGGACCTTATTAGAAATTCATAATCCTGGCCCCCTCCAGACCCACAAAATCAGAATCTGCATAAATATGATTCTCCTGATTATTCATATGCATATTCAAGTGTGAGAAGCACTGGTCAAAACACAGGGATGTACTTGACTTGGCTGAACAGGAGAACTGCCTGCAGAACTATCTGAGCTGTCATATACCTAGGAATTCTGAAGCAATTGGCCTGGCTCACCACTGGAATTTGTTCAAGCACTCCAGGCGATTCCAAGGACCAGGAGAAGCACTGGTCCAGAGGGTGGCGAAAGCAGGCTCTCCAAATTTTGACAAGCACATTCTGACTTAGTGGGTGTAGATGGATCACATCCGAACCAGCTCCCAGGTGGTACCCTGCTGCTAGGCTGAGACCAGGATCCTTCCAGCTCTAACATCTCATTATTTTATCAACTACATCCTCTCCCACCCCCACTCTCTCTCGATCTTCTCTTTGTGACCAGGATTCATTCCATCTCACTTCATCTCCCTTGATATCAGTATGTGACAACACTACCCAAGGCAATTAATCATCTGAGAAGTTTTAAAATATACAGATGTCCAGGTCCCACTCCCCAAGATTCTTATTTAATTGGTTAGGGGTGAAGCCCAGACATTAGTTAAATAAAAAACAAGAAAGACCGAAAACCCCACCTGCCTTGTGATGCTAACATGCAGCCGAGATGGAAACAGTACATAGAGTGTTGTTTCGCAGTAACTGAAAGACAAATAGTCAGCTGCCCTGTAGACCGCTCTCAACGAAGACGACCTTGGCCAAGAGAGGTGACCAGCACTGACCAGTCCCAAGCTACAAGACAACTAGACCTTCTTTGACCAAGAAAGTTCTGCATGAGTCTGTTTGTTCCCAAATTGTGTTGGTGTTATGCTAGGCAGACACATTAGTCTTAGGGCTTGCTCTAAGATATCCGCTTCTGTGATTTTGTTTGGGCCAAGCCAAGAGGATGGCTTAGCAGGCCCCAGGCACTCCAGGAGAAAGGGCTTCTTGGGCTGGCTGCTGCCTCAAGACAACCGGTAGCCTTCTCCCAGCAGCTTCCCCACATTACTGACAGAGCCCCTGGGTACAAAAGGATAAGAGAAAAGCCAAAGTAGGATACCTGGGCAGGAGAGCAGGCATCTGATCCACTCATGTCCAAGGTGCACCAGCCTCTACTGCCAGGGAGCCCAGCTCACCCAACTGGCTAGGCAAAGCTGACCCCAGGGCAGGTAGGCTGTGTGCTCTCTTGATGCTCTGCTAGGAACCAAAGTGTCCCTGGCTGAAGTGAGGCTGGTGAACCCTGCCACAGAACTTATCGAAGCGCAGGTGAGGGGCACTGGCTGAAGAAATAAGGCCCTATCAAAGCAGCAACCATGCCTCAGGCTGCTGCCACACTCATACCTCGCACATTGCAGGTACCCGCTGTACCGAGAGCCGTAAGACTATGCTCCCTGCCAAGAAACACAGCATGCCGACAGGCCCCGCGGAGCCCCTGGGCCCATCCAGGAATACGACAACGTTCCTGAGAAGGCTATGGGAAGACCAGGGCAGGCAGAAGCACAGGTTCTATTCTTATTGGTTCAGAAACCTTGATCGATATCACTGTCTCTCAGTTCTTCTATAGGGAAACCTGGAGCTGCTCATCTGCCACCTCTAGACTCACCTACCATAACTCCTGCTCTCCTAATCCCTACGCCTGGACACTGTGTTCCCACCCACCTTTCTAGCACTGTTCCCCATCAGGGATCCCCTTGAAACCTTGCGTCTCTCCCTCCTCCACAACCTTTGACTTAGAAACGTACTCAAGTCTCCTTTTTCCTAAAACAAAACAAAACAAAACAAAACAAAACAAAACAAAACAAAACAAAACAAAACAAAACACCCCTCCCATCAACCAACCAAAAAAACCCAGAATATTGGGCTCCCAACCACAAAGATTATAATTTGTTAGTTCCGGACAGCTTA